CAGCATCTCCGTGATCTCGTACACCTTGGACGCGCCCGGCAGGTTTTTCAGGGTGACGAGGAAAGTGTTGCTGTGCTCTCTACCTTTGCCCTGGATCTTGGTCACGTAGGTAGGGCTGAATCCGCGGTCGGTGAGCTCTTCGGCGATCTCGTCGGGGGTGATGGTGGTTGCCAGACCTCGGATTGCGACTTTGAGTTCCCTTTCCGATGGTAGGGCGTATGTGTGGAATTCCAGCAAGCTTTTCCGCAAGTAATCTTGGATCGCGCGGAACTCGTCCGGGCTATCGGCGACGATGCGGGCTCCTTTCCCCACGGCGACAATGTTGACGGTCTTCCGGAGGATGACCTTTAGGTTGCGCGCGTGGGTGATGAAGTTCCGGATCTCTTCGACGTAGATCGGCGGGATCCTTGGCTTCTTCGGGGTTGCTTGTTGTGGTCGCTGCGGGGCGGCGGCGGTTGGGGCTGTTGGGGCGGCGATGCTCGAGTACGTACGGACGCTGGTGGTGGTCTCGTTGCCGGTGTCCATGTCCGATGATTCATCGGGATCGGTCGTCCTCTTGCGCCTCTTCTTCTGTTGCTGGCCTTTCGGTGGAGGTGGTGCTGGTCGAAGGAGGGATGTTTCCTTCGTTGACGGTGCCGGAGGCGGCGTCGGAGCTGATGAGGGGAGGATGAGGGCGGTGCGCTGGACGTCCGCGACGGTGGTTTGCATCGCTGTGGCGGCGGCGGCAACGGGTTTGGGGTTGGTTGTCCCACCAGGGGACATCCTGCTCTGAAAAGAGCACCTTTCCGTTACTTCGTGCCTCTTCGGTCTGGTCGTGGGCGTTCCTTCTCTCTCTCGATCGCTTCACTGCCTCTCGCGGTCGGAAGATGAACCGATCCGAAGTCGGTTCGTCGGTTGAAATCGCGTGTGCGGTTAAAGCCGATGCAGGTGGTCTGGTCTGAACGAGTGCTCAGAGTCAGATGACGGTCCCCGATATCGAAAGGGATATATATAGGGCGCCACACTTGCAGCCCTGCAGCGCATACAACTGCACAATGTATAATGTATTGCGGTTGTCAGCAATTTACCATTAAGAACATTAAGCGCACCGAAAGACGCTTATAATAAAAACTTTGAAATACACTGAGGATTACATTTTTAGTGGTCTTCCGCACTGATTTTTCACAAAATTCAAGACTTCAGCAATTCCTTTTGTAGTTTCTTGTTGAAACTATTAGAGCAATAAACTGAAAACATGTATATTGTATAATTATGACAGATGAACTAACTATTTATCGTATCATAGTTACAATAAATTAAATAGGTAACTATATTTATTTCAACATTCCCTCCTAAATTGTTAGTTTATATTATATCAATGGTTTACACATTTGTAGTAAGCCCTAGCAAACTTCTCATCCTTTCAAAACGTTTTGTTGGAAGTGGTTTCGTTAAAATGTCACCTAATTGATCCTCACTGATAAGACTTTCTCTTCAACTTTCTCTCTAATAAAATGGTATCTAACATCTATGTGTTTAGACCTCTGATGCATAATCGGATTCTTGGTAAATTTTACTGCACTCATGTTATCAATAAATAATGTCGGTATCTTTGTTAGAGTTAGGGGTGAAATTTCCTTAAAGATTCGGTACAGCCATATACCGTCCTTGGCGGCTTCACTAGCTGCGATGTATTCGGCTTCCATGGTAGATAAGGATACGCATCTCTGTTTCTTGCTTGACCAAGTGATTACTCCGCTACTAAATTGTGAACATACTCCGCTTACTGATTTTCTCGACACATCATTAGCGTAATCTGCATCGCTGTAAATTTTTAATTCTTTGCATTCCGTAGCTGTGTATTTAATGCCCATATTTAGAGTACCTTTGATATATTTAAAAATTCTCTTCACAATTTCCCAATGTCGTCTATTAGGTTGTTCAACAAATTGTGAAATATAATTGACAGCAAAGGTTATGTCAGGTCTTGACACAACTGAAAGATACATTAAGCAACCTACTGCTTCTCTAAATGGAGCATCCGTAGGTTTAAACTTTGGTATTTCCTTGAAAGCTTCTTCCATCTGACATCTTTCTAAAGGAGTCTTGACCGGTTTTGCCTCTTCTATGTTAAAACGCTGTAAAAGACGTTCTGCGTATGATCTTTGATTCAAGAAAATTGAACCATCTATATTTCTGCAGATCAAAACGTTCAAAAAACTTTCAACATTTTTACAAACAGTAATTTGAAATTCTGCTTGCAGTTTTGTCAAGAATTGCTGTATTGTCTGCTTTTTGGTAGCTAATATAAGTCCATCATCCACGTATAGTACTACTAGCAGCTTGTCATTCTCAATATTACTGTAATACAAGCATGGATCAGCAGTGCTTTCGGTAAGATGAAATTTCTTAAGCAATCCTTTAAATCTCTGATTCCAGCAACGTGGGCTTTGTTTGCAACCATATAAACTTTTCAAAAGTTTACAAACATGACTTGTGCTGTCTTCAAATCCTTGCGGTTGGTACATGTAAATATCACGATCGATGAATCCATTTAAGAAGGCTGTCTTAACATCAAATTGAGCCATTTCCAAACTCTCCTGTGCTGCAATGCTCAGAACCGTTCTAATGGTGTCAAATCGGGCTACGGGACTAAATGTATCATCGTAATCTATTCCTTCTTTCTGACTAAACCCTCTCACTACCAATCTGGCCTTATATCGATCAATACTTCCATCTACTTTCCTTTTGTACTTAAATGTCCATCGGTTTGTGATGGCTTTTCGATTTTCTGGTAAATCTACCAAAATCCAGGTGTGATTTTGTATCAATGATTGCATCTCTTCCTCCATTGCTTGTTTCCAATGTCTACTTTCTGGTGATTCAACTGCCTCTTGATAGGACTTTGGTTCATCTACTTCAGCAATCATCGTTTCAATTAATCGTTTTGTGCAATGAAGATTTCTTCGATTTCTAAAGTTATATCTTGGTTGATGCTGTCCATTTTCTTCTTCCGATTCTTGCAATTCGTTGTCAACATCAATATTTTCATGATTCTGTCCATCTTCTTCCGATTCTTGCAATTCATTATCAGGTGTGTAAAGCGATGGGGTATACAAGAGGGAATTTTTTGTAAATATTGATTTATGACAAAAATTTATTCTTTATGATATTTTTTGCTTGCTTTGAAAGTACCAATAACGTTTCGATTGTTTGTGGTTTGATAGCAATAAGCCGCGTACAGACCGGATTCCAACGCCAAGCCAATGAATCCAAGCACGTGACGTTGGCGTTTGTCGTTGGAAACGATTGGAATGCCCTCGTCCACACCAAAATTTAAGATTTGAGTTGGACTTGGTGGGACCGTGTTGGGTAAAGTTCGGTAACCGGTGCTGCTGGTCTGTCAAACAATGTCAAGCGACGAGGACGATTTACTGCTGGCGAGTGCGGGGTTTTTAATAATGAATTCTTTAATTTCAAAGAAAAAGAAGAAAAAACGGCCTAGGCGTTGGTGGGTAACAACACCATTTAAAAATAGGAGTTTGTATAGTGGCAGTCACTTACTAGAGGAACTTCAAAATGAAGATGGTGGACATTTTAAAAACGCAGACAAACGACTAAAAACTAAAATCGCAACAAATCCTGCCCAGACCACATCAAATTTCCCACAGGCTTGCGTTGGAAACTTTCAATAAAAAAAAATTAATTTTATTATTTTTCCAGATTTCTATAAATAAATTTTAGATTATCGAAACGTTATTGGTACTTTCAAAGCAAGCAAAAAATATCATGAAGAATAAATTTTTTTCATAAATCAATATTTAAAAAAAAATTCCCTCTTGTATACCCCATCGCTTTACACACTGTATATAAAGGGGGGATGGATACAGAATTGGGGGGGCTGCAGCCCCCCCCCCCTAAAAAGGCCTAGCTACGCCACTGAACGGAGCCATAGGTAGATATGTACTTACACGAGGAAGAGGAAGGCAGTTAAACGTCACCAATTTTGAAAAATCTTGAATAACTTGAAAACCTTTGATGCTGGATATAGGGAAAATGTGGTATCAAACGATGTAGATTTTCATGTAGATTTCAAAAATGCCATAAAATACAGGATGTTCTGTTTAAAATAAGAAATTTGCTATGCACATCCGGTAAAACCGGAAGTGAAACGATCATGGTAAATAATATTTTCTTTAGATAGATCATAAAAAAATTTATTGGTATACTAAATTTTTAGAATTTTCAGACTAAAATTATCAGTGAATACCTTTAAGTAGTCGTTTGCATGGAACAGCCTGTATAAGATATAAATTCATGGCATTAATTACTTTCTTTAAGTTTTCATCTCCTTACTTACGCATTTTTCAGCTTTAGAAACGTGACAAATTAAAAAGAAATGTTACGAATGTATAAATAGATTAGGGCCACTACTCTATTTTTTTTAGAATGTGCAATTTATTTAGAATAATTGGACGCAATTCGAGGTCATATACTGCGTCTGGCGAAGCACTAAACACCGCTCAGTATAAATTTGAATTTAGTTTTCAACTTGATCTTAACGCGAAATTGAAAATATGTTACACTTGTAATAAGATTATAGATAATTTTATATTGTTGGCAATAGAACATAATTTTAATGACGTTGTTTTTTGGAATTTGAAATAAGAAGACATATTAATAGAAAATTAAAATTAGTAAGGAAATCCAAATATATGTAATTTTTGGCAAACGACACTACTTGTAACAATTTTTAGGTGAATTTTAATAACCGGCATTTGCGTAAACCCTTTTTTGCCTAATATAAAATTACCACATCAAACACACTTTACCTATATTTAGATTTGTAATAGGTACATTGAGACATTATTATTTGACCTGATTAAAAAAATAGCAAGTGTTAAAAAAGCGTGTGAAATATATGTTGGTACGGTTAGTTTGTTATATCATTTTGTCCTAGATATCAAAAATAAACTTGAGATAGGTTAGAAATTGAGATTGGTTAGTTTATTCAAATTTACCTTTAAATTATGATAAAACAGAACCACCCCCAGCATTACTATCGTGAACCATATAAATAAAGAAAACGCCGTCACTTGCCATATTCGTAAGACACTTAAGGTATAACTAATAACTACGGCCGATGCGTGGCAAAAAAGGACTGGAACAAAACAGCGTTCCAGCAAATCCCAGGGCACGTCTTGTTGGACTTGAGGGATTGGTGCTAAAGCTGTGACGGATGAGCGTCTTCTTGTTGCTGCAGATTTCACTAAACCCAAAGCAACGGGCTTCTTTAGAGAAGCGCGTCTTTTAAACGGTCCACTCATGCTCGGCAATAAATATGCCTCTACAAACTGTTCTTTGTGAAACACGTGCAATACTGAACTCGGACAGTCCCGGTAAGGATGCCAAATAGTTCTACTTTCGGCGGCTGAGGCTTATTTTAGATCAGTGCGAAATTGCTATACCTTTTTTTTTAAATTTAAAGACATATGTATAACATTGACATTGTTTGTAATTAACCAATTGTTACGGGTATGGTGACCTATTAGTTAGAGGTGTGTTCTGATCATAGGTACAATACATTAAAAGAAATGTATGTATTCAAGTTTTTGACAACTATTTGACAAGTATACGGCAGCTGATGGTGACGATAACGTTAGTTTATAATAACTTATATAAATATATCTACGTATATGATTTCATCTTACGAAAGGAATGTTCACTCATACACACTGTATACGTCTATTCTTTCATTTCTAGAAAAATAAGTTTTCTTTCTTATCACAACCGTAAGAAAACCTACAGAAAGAGTCAACGCCATTCATTTGCACTTCCAATAACACCCCTCCAAGCATCATGCGGCGCCTTTCAAATTCCTTTCTCAGTTCCTGTACCGTCACTCCTGCTCCAGCCAACTTCCCAATCATGGTTTTTGAAACCCCAGCAACATCGTGAAGCTTCATTAAGTCTTTTCGAGTTCAGTCCCTTCTTTCTGTTAAAAACTTGTCTCTTCATAAAATTAGATGTAAGTCAGGCGCAGGATGGAGGCACTGAGAGCAGCAAGCTGGTCCAGAAATTGCTGCGCAGCTACAACAAGAAGTGTCAAAATTTCAAGAGCAGTGTGCTGTGGACCAATATCCCTCAGATGATCTTTAGTCCAGTTGCAGCAGAAGTATACGGGTTCATCTTGGATATATCTTAAAAACCAATCCATAGAATAAAAAATCCAATGACATATCATTAAACTTCACTATAACGCATAGAGCACACTTCCATAGCATATTCGTATTAAAGAAACCTCGTACTAAGATAACTAGACCTCCCCCCCCATGGTGGGATGATCAATGTACACATACTATTCAATGCCGAAAAATTGCTCTAAAAAATTACAAGACGAATCCAACTTTTGATAATTTTATTACATGTCAAGAAACTATTGCCTACTCTAAAAGATTTTTAAAATCCAAGAAACGGCAAGGCTTCAGGAAGTTATGTAATAACCTGAATACAAAAACCTCCCCGAAGAAACTGTGGAATATCATAAGGAAATTTAAGAGATGTCCTACTGATAACTGCACATCAGAGGCATGGATAGAGGAATTTGCAGCCAATTTAGCCCCGGCTTTTGTTAGTACAGAAAGCATTCATCTTAAAACTAGGGAAACAGGTCATTTTTTGCACCAACCCTTTTCCATGGAAGAGCTTGTCAAGGCTACCAAGTCAGCTAATAACACGGTCCCAGGTTTCGATCATATCACATACCCATTGATAAATAATTTACCCTCGGTGGGAAAGGAATTACTACTAGCGGCATTTAATAGAATATGGGTACATGGCGACTGTGTTCCAAGTTTTAAAACAATAATTATTGTTCCAATTCTTAAACCTAGTAAAAATCCAAATGAGGCAAAATCGTACAGACCTATATCTCTCCTATCGTGCTTATTTAAATCCCTAGAGAGAATGATTAAAAATAGGATCGAATGGTGGCTGGAAAGTAACAAAAAACTTCTCCCAACTCAGTTTGGTTTCAAACGGGCACCATTGATGCGTTAACGAAACTGGTATCTGACATCCAAATATGTTTTGCTAAAAAAGAAACCCTAGGGGCTGTTTTTCTCGATTTTAAGGATGCGTACGGTAGTGTTAAATTAGATATTCTAAAGAATAAACTTATAAAACAGGGGTTTCCTAAAGAGGTAGTTCAGAATCTCATTGGTTTGTACACCCAGCGAGAGATGTATACAAGAACTGGTAAAGGACAGTTTATAGGACCCAGATTCATCTATGAAAGTCTCCCTCAGGGGTCAATAAATAGCCCAATTCTGTTCAACTTGTACACGTATGACTTCGCGGATACATTGGACGATTGTATTAATGTTATACAGTACGCAGACGATTTAATTATTTACACTGCACACAAAAATGAGAGGGTTGTAAAAGATCGTCTCAGTAAAGCCATTGGAAAAGTCAAGATATGGATGCGTCAGCGGTAATTTTTTTTTCGCGTAAGAGACAGTATAATTTGAACCAAATTTCATTGGATAACACTCAGTTTTCGGTTGTAAAAAGTGTAAAGTATTTAGGGCTCATATTGGATTATAAATTAAATTGGTCAGAACATACAGGGTTACCCGACATTCGCCGCAGCATACGAAAACGCCGTTAGCTGCGTGCAAATATGAATTACAATACGGCGTACACCTATATAGTAATGCAGGTTTCGACGCAGCATTGGTCAACGAGTTAGCGATGGTACTAGGATTCGTCACTGCTTGTCATTACTCATCGGATAATTCCTGTCACAATTTTGACGCTCAACATGCATGAACCCTCTCGATTTCTTCTACTGGGGTCACCTGGATTCCATTTATGCACGTGGACCGTTTCCTAACACTGCTGCTTTGGAAGATGCCATCCGTGAATGTTCTGCGGGTATCACTCATACCCAACTCATGTCTGTGACTGGAGAATTTGAAAACCGATTGCATTACACGATTCCTACTGGCGGGGACTTATTTGAACACTTAGATACTATAACGGCAGATGCGACGCAATTCCTTTTCTTAGACTGCTCTGTTCTTTTTTTTTGTGTTACCGAAGGCTGTTTCTTCTTTAATGTAACCGAAGGATGTATTTTTTTCTTTCGTTATGTTTCCTTGTGCTCATCCTGCATGATCACTTCCCTTTTCCATGGAATTTCTAACGTGTCGGCCGATGCTGCGTCGAAACCTGCATTACTATATAAGTGTACGCCGTATTGTAATTCATATTTGCACGCAGCTAACGGCATTTTCGTATGCTGCGACGAATGTCGGGTAACCCTGTATACACCTGGTAGCCAAAAAATGTGAGAAATCACTGAACGTCTTACGTTTGATGACGAGAGTGGGGTGGGGAATGGACCTGCCAACCGCGTGAAAGGTATATAAAGCGCATACGAGATGCTTAATAGAGTATGGACTTCAATTATACGGGTCAGCTAGCGAAGCAGCATTGCAACGAATTAGAGTCGTCCAAAATAAAGCGTTAAGACATTGTATTGGGGCAATGAAATCTACACCTGTGGAGGCGCTGTATGTGGAAGCTCGCGACCACCACTCAACTTCCGAATTAAATACTTGGCCGTAAAATACGTCACTAAGGTTAAAACATTAAATCTGGTCGATATTCACAACACCCTCTATAAGTTAATGTCCTTTGATCGAGTTTTTGGTCGAAAACGAAATCGCCGCCACTCGCAGTTGCCTGTGTTTACGTTCACGATATAAACATGCCCCCTTGCGTACAAGAGAAACCGGAGGCGTCATACCATGATTTCTACACTAGGATCCTCCAGACGTACTTTCCAAGGTATATGGGAAATTTAATCATCGATATACAGCAGTACTATAACATCTTAGAAGACCTAAAAGGGTGGAAGGTTATATTTACAGACGGCTCAAAAAGCAAGAAGGGAGTTGGTTGTGCATTCTACCAGCTTTCGAACAAGGTGTCCAAGTTATTTAAACTTGGAGAAATCGTATCCATTTTTACAGCGGAAGCAATAGCAATACTCGAAGCATTAAAATACTTTAAGATCCACAGGGTAACTAAGAACCTTGCTATTATGTCAGACAGCAGGAGTGTTTTGGCCGGAATCAATCAGAGGAAGCATTACTTTCACACCCACCCGATAATTACAGCAATCATCGCGGAGTCTAAAATTATTCAGAAAGGTCATATGGTCAAATTTTTCTGGATCAAGGCCCATTCCGGGATACATGCTAATGAAATGGTAGACGGATTAGCGAAACAGGCAGCGCAAGATGGGGTTAAACTCAGTTATGATACCCCAAAGTCCGACCTCCTCAACTTCTTTAAAGGCAAGATGTTAGACGAGTGGGATAATAATCATTGGAAAGAGTACTATGAAGAACGGAGAACGCAGTATAGTACAATTGAGCCCACGGTGAAATTCAAACCATGGTACATCAAACATCATATCCCAAAAAAATACTACGTCTCAATTGCACGTCTTAAATTCGGACATGGACGATTTCTTTCTCATCTCCACAGAATTGGGGTGGTTGACTCGCCAATGTGTATGTGCGGGGCGGAGATTGGCGACTTGAATCACATATTTTTTAATTGCGCGTTGAGGATGCCGTTCATTAATCATATGTATTCTCGGTTAATCGAAAGAGGAACACAATTGCCGTTGAACATCGCTACGCTCATGTGTGCTAACTCTAAATCCACATATGACATAGTCATAGAATATCTTGGGCTAAATATTTAAAGATCAAAGAATTACCCCCCTAATGGACTCCTAAGTATCTAACCTTTGTTTAACCGTTCTTCCTATCTATCCAAGGTCGCAACCTGTGATGTCTACATGAAAGGCCATGACAGACCTCTTGGCGAGAAGTGTGTGCCCCTGCCTTTAAGTCCCGTGCCCCTGCCTTTAAGTCCCGTTAATTTATGACATTAGGTTTCCTTTCATTATCGTGGCTAAATGGGCATTGATCCCGAGAAAAGCCAAAAAAAAAAAAAAAAAAACTCTTATTCTACCATGCTTACAACTTTCATTTCATCGCACAATTTCAACTTTCATTTCAACCAAGTTTGATTACAAAATGGCGGGAAATAGAAATCAGATGTACTAAGTACTTTAAAGGCGAGTTTATATGAACACAAAAAGTAACAAGTTTAAAAAGTCATTATGCACACATAAATGACGAGAGCGTATTTTCCTCCTAATAATATGCTATAGGCTAGGACCAGGAAAGAATACCGGTAGGCACGAGATCTTTACCCCATTCTCTTTCAAATGAACCGCCTATCGTCGAAGTGTGCGTTTACCATGAACGTATACGTAAGAAATACATAAAACGTAAAAATTTCGCAAAGTTGAA